GGCGGTTGCTGTGAGTAGGGGTGGCTCTGGGCACCGCTGGCTATGCGATGCGGACGGGCGGTGTCGGAGGAGGATGGGAGCTTTGGTGGGGTCCCATGGGTGAATATCTGGGCAGACAGACTCCCATTCACGCTACTCAGAGCGAGCGCTGGTGCCCAGTCTGCCCCATGTTGGCCTGTGTCCCCTGGCCTGTGGCCTATCACAGATATCTCCCTTGCTTCCCACTGCACAGCTTCCCCAGCTGCGTCCTTTCTGCTCCTGCCCTTCCCTCCCCTGCCAAAGCCAGGCCTGCAGGCTCTGCCTTCTCTGTCCTCCAGCTTTGCCTTTCCCCATTTCCGCTGTGCCCAGTTTTGCACCACTCCCTCCTCCCTACCCCCTGCCCCATGTTGCTCTCTTCCATCCTATCTTGTCCTGATTTCCCCTGCCCTCCCTCTGACCAGAATCTTCCCTGCTTTGTCTTCCTCAACCTTTCCACCCTCCATGGGCACCTCCTTGCCTTGTCCTGCCCAGCTCAGTCCTGCCATGCCCAGCGTGGCTGTGCACACGCTGCACCCCATGTGGGGGTAATGCCAGCGACCCCCTGCCTGGGCCATGCTGACTCCCCGTCCCATGGCTCCCTGCCTGTGCCTAGACTGGCAGGGAAACCGCCAGCTGCCATGAGTGCGCGGCGGAGCGCAGTTGCCTCTCGCAGCAGGCGAGCCTGCGGGAGCAGAGCCTGGGGCAGACGTGGCTGGAGCAGGCGCAGGCAGGAGGGGAGCTGCAGCGCACCTGGCTCGAGGGCAACAGCAGCCAGCTGGAGGTGCAGAGCCTGGACTTGGAGCTGGACCACACCATGGGGGTCCTGGGGACGGTGGAGAAGGAGCTGCAGGACGTGAAGGGGAAGCTCAATGCCAGTGAGAGCACCGTGAGCAGCCTGCGCTCCTGCTCCAATATCGGTGAGGCCATGGTGGAGCAGGGACGGGTAATATAGGGGGCAGGCAGCTCTTGGCAGGGCAACAGTGAGTCAGGAGCATTGGTGAGGATGGGGTGGCCTAAAGGTGATCCTATGCCTGGATGAAAGGCAGATGCTGCTGTGCCTGTGATGTCTGCTGGAGAAATGCCAGGGGATGTCCTTGGACCAGGCCAAAAGCCCCTCTGAGCACTGCCCCTGCCCCTAGATTGCTGCCCTTCAGGCTTGGTGATGTACAGAAGCAAGTGCCTCTTCATCTCAGCGGAGAAGACCTGGGAGGACAGCAAAGCAGTGTGACACAAAAATTTCTCAACTCCTCATCACCAAATCCTGGAGTTGCTGGACCGTGCCAGTACCTTGCACAGGGGATTGAGGGCAGGGGCTGGGGGCGTTGGGTCTTGAGGTGGGATGGGAGAGTGCAGGGCTGATCCATGGAGTGCAGGGGACATCTCAGCCCTTGAGAGTGCCCCAAGACAGGGAGGCAGATCCATGTCAGCAGCTGGTGGTGCGGCTGGCTGAATCTCATGGGTTTTTCTCCACTGGGCTGGCCGCTGGTGTGGGAGAAAAGCTCGCTCCAGAGACCCATCGCCTTCCTCCTCCTCACACGATCCCTCTGCGGACACTGGAGGCCTGGCCTTCCTCAGTTTGGGGGATGAAGGGGGCACCTGGCTGGGGGAAGCCAACGTAAGGGACCTTTTTCCTTCTGCAGAACTTCCTGAAGAACTCAGACACTCCGTACTGGATCGGGCTGTACAAGAGCAGCTATCCCTGGTTCGAGTATGGGTATGGGCTGGAGGAAGAGGATCCGAGTGAAGAGGGTGGGACAGATGCCTGGATCTGGATCGACGGTGCTCTTTATGAGAGGTACTGGGAGGTTGATTTCTGTGCACTCTCTTGTCAGAGAGGAGCAGACAGGGAAACACCTCCTGCTGCAAAGCCCAGGGCTTTAAGGGGATTTAAAATCCCACCAATCCCCAATCCCTGCCCCTGACACAACTGCCAGGGTATAAACCAAGGCGGGACCAAGGGGAGGAAGGAGCAGCCATATGCTGAAGCCATGCAAAGCCTCGGCAGGCACGTGTGCCAGCGATAGGGGGCAAAAGAAACCACAGTTTTCATTCAGGGTCAAGACGAAGCACTGGAGCCCCACAGTCATCTCCCACCTCTCCTGCTCGAGGGGAATGAGGCCTTCCCGCCCACAGAGGGGCCAGGGCTCCTCGCCGCCACATGCACCACCTCCCCTCCTCACCACCGCTTCCTCTTGTGGTGTCTGAAGGCAGTGGTGGGGAACGGGCCTGTCTCAACGGGTACCAACCTCCCAGGCCTGGCCAAGCCTCTGGTAGTGCCTGCTGGGCTCCGCAGTGCAAGTGTCCTGAGCCAAGGACACTCCAGAGACAAGATGCTCCCCAGCCACAAGTGTGGACAGCTGAGACCCAGCGGGGAGTTGTGTCCCAAGGATGGGTAGGGAATGCTCTAGTTAAAGTTTTGGCCTGTGACGTTAGTGATGGGGGGCTGGGGCACCCCCACTTTGGCCGCATTCAACAGGTCCTGGCAGTGGAAGTCCAATGGATCCTGTGCCATAATAAGCCATGGGAGCATCAAACTCGCTCAGTGCAACGGCGATGGCGACATGCACTTCTGGATCTGCGAGAAGGCACCAGGCCTGAGCAGCCCTTTCCTGTGAGGGCAGCTGCTGGCCCCGCCACTGCTGCAGTGAGTATGTGAGTCCTCACCTGTGTCCTGTGCGCTGCTGTGCGCTGCTGTGCTGCGGGCAGCTCTGGGGAAGCGGGATGTGCTGGGCCAGGCAGTGTACGAGGAGGAAAGCGGGGCTGGTCCAAGGCGGGGAAAGGTAGAGGGATGCAGCTGCATCCCCAGGGCTGTGCTGGGAGCCCCTGCCCCACGGGAACTAGGGATGGGGAGGCTCAAGTGATGCTCTGCTGTAGGGCAGGAAAGGGGCAAGAAGGGGGAAACCTCTGTGCACGTGGCCTTCCCCAGGAGGTGTCCCAGCACCCTGCTGGGGTTCACAGCACTCTGAACCTTCCCTTGCAGTGCCAGTGCCAAGCACCTGCACTGCTTCAGCACCGCTGCAGCCCTGCATGCTGCCCAGGACGCACCGCCAGAGCCTGCCCCATCTAGCCTGGCCTTGCCGGTATGAGCAACCACCCCGCTTTGCAGAACACAGGGGCTGCCTGGACACCTGTGTCCCCCGCTGCTTGCACTGCTTGTGCTTCTGATCAGGAGCACCAGAGCAGGGCAGGCTCTGGGAGGTGGCCCCATTGCTCCCTGGCACAGCCCTTTGGCAGCTGGCATGGGGCCAGCTCTGGTGCCTGTCCCGTGAACACAGCTCCAACCGACTCCAAGCAGACCGGGTTTGGGAGTCTCCTGCAGCTGGCACTGCCTGCCGGTGCTGACAGTGCCGCCTCCACGAACCCCTCTCAGATGTCTTGCACCCACTCATCCCAACTCTGCAGCGGTGCTGATGTGCGGGGGAAGTCACCGTTCCCCCACTGGCCACCACAGTTCAGCAGAGCAGCAAGGGCTCTGCAGCCCTGCCCCACACCTGCATGGGGGGAGCACAGCGCAAGGACTGGTGGGGGGACAGCAGGTCTCATCCCGCACCAGCAGCACCTTTTCCAGCGCCACGGCTGGTACAGCCAGCCCTGCCTGTGCCCCGCACAGCTGTGCTGCTGGAACAAGGCGGGAACGTGGGCAACACACAGGAAAAAACACCTTGGCTCCACCTCAGAGGCCAACCTGGGTCTGAATGGGCTGTTGCCTGCGCTCGTGGGTTGACTTTTCTTGCTGATTGGGAGCATAGCACTCCTAGGATCCTACGCTCTGACAGTGCATTTCAAAGCAAAAGCACTTGCAGCGGGTAGACACTTCATGAGACGAGTCATCGGGCCTCTAAATAGTTGTGGCATATGTATGCACGCCAAGCAAGGCAAGGCAGGGCTGTGGTGCAGCACAGCAAGTGCAAAGGAAGCCATGTTCGGCCAGGCAAAGATGCTCGCAGCATGTTACGAGGTTGTGTATCCCATATATAGCCGATCAATTAGGATGTAAATTAGCTTGCTTGAAGAGCAAAAGGGCGTTAAAGGCCAGCTTTTCTTTTTGGAGGTGACACGTGTCCTTACTCTGATTTGCCTGCTGGCCAAACTCCCTTGGTAGCAATAAAGACATGTCGCGACCATTTTGTCTGTGCTTTTGTGCGCCACTGTGAACCAGAGCTCACGGGCATCAATGCAACAATCCTAAAAAATAAACGGGAATTTCACTGAAACGGTTTCAGTCAAGATGGCCGCTCTGGGGACACCTAAAGCCTGGGGGTGAGCCAGATCTGAGGGGTGGTGCCCGAGGGACACAACTGGATTGAGAGGCCAAGCTAATGCCAACCGCAGGTGCTGGGCTTCCTTCCCTGCTCCAAGTGCATCGGAGAGACAGAAGAAGCATCCCAGGATGCTAGGACATTCAGTTTTATTGAGCACTTTAAATAAGCTGGGTATATATTACTAGCAAATAATAATAATAATAATAAACACAAGAGTTTTGCATTCACCAGTGCATCGTGTGGGAAGGAGGAAAGCCAGCTGAGCTTGAGTGTGGGAGGAAAGGGGCTGGGCGGCTCCTGCTCCCCTGGGTTGCTCCACGGCTGGCCATGGGGCTGCCCCAGCTTGGAGGTGATGGAGGGACACAGCAGTGTCCCCCCGCCCGGGCATCCAGGCCTCCCTGCCACCACCCTGCTCTGGACCCCAGAGGCCATTTGGGCACTGAGGACGCCCAGCCGTGCAAACCCTCCCCATGCACTGCCCCCACGGCCATCACGCCTCTCCGTGCCCTACCACATGTACCTGAGACCAGGCACGCTCGTCACACTTGTGCAGCAGCAGCGGGGACGCCCTCCCCAGCCCAATGGGTCCCCCAACACACATACATGCACACAGTGACTGCTCTGCTCCCCAGACCCATCCTGGCCCCACGTAGCCCCCTGGCTGGGCACGCAGACCCCCAGGGGCTCCCGCTGCTCTGGGGGGAGCAGTGCTGGAGGCAATGGAGCAGGGTCACCGCACACCCCCTGTAAGAGCCCGTGGAGGGATGAGCCCAGGGGGATGCAGCTCTGCAGCTGGCGCTTGAGCGGGCACTGCAGCGCTGGGGGCACCAGTCCTACCATCCGGAGGGGCGCAGACGTCTGTCCACACAACGTGTTATTGCACTTCAGCCCAGCAGTGCCCCGGGGTGTGGGAAACTGAGAAACCATGGGAAACTGTGGGAAGCTGTGGGAATGGTGAAAGTTAGGAGTGAGAAACTGTGAAAGTTAGGAATAACAGATTAGCAGATAGAGAAACCCAAAACACAGGCCGGGCACACCAATCTCTGGTTGGTTACCTGTTGTCCATTAGCAGGATTGGACCCAGATAGCAGGAGAGTCAAGGAATTGGCTGGAGGCAGGGGGAGGGAGCGCGTGGACAGCGCGTGGACAGTGTATGCTCACATACTCGGAGAATATCTAAGTTTGGTCTGATGCTCAATAAAATGGCTTCTGGCTTCTGGTCCTAAACCTTAAGCCCCTGCTCCTTCGATGATTCCCACACTGGGGCAGCCCCGAGACCCCAATGGGGAACCTCCAGCGGGGGTCGGTCACAGACAGGGCTGGGGGGAGCCCTCTGTCCCCCCGGTGACCCCCTGCAAACCCCAAAGGACCAACTCCAATGGGACGCGGCACCCGCCATGTGGCGGTGACACCCAGGGGCCACGGCCACTATGGGGGG